TGACAGCCTAATCAGATGTTAGATTACTTTGAACGAGCTTGGCATAAGATGCGCCAGAACCAGTCGTTTCATTCATGGATCTTCGAAAGACGTAGCCTCATTCAGAGCTCAATCTAGGCTCGATTGTAGCATTGGCATTGCTTGAAAGCGGCACAGTAGACTTGGAATATCGCAAAGGGCTACCGATTACGTCTTGGCTGTAGCCTTCGAATATTCCCTGTTCGGAAGCTAGCATTTTCGTGCACCTTACGAGAAACATGCCATCGCTTGCCTAGAACTCTAAGCTCGCTGCTACGGTTCATGAGAACTCTATAAAAGAGCAGATACCTGCCATGTCTTGACTAGCACCAGTCCATCAACAGCTTCGACTTGTCGGAATCAGAGTCTGCACCTGCGAAATCAATTTATTCCAACATGGTTCACTTCACAAAGTCTGCGGCTGCAGCCGTCCTCACCTTCTGCTCTGCCATCCAAGCTAGCCCAGCAGCTCCTCTAGACACTAGGCAAACCGAGCAAGCAGAAATCAATCACCCAATCGGCTTCGACGCCGCTGCTGCTCGCCGTGTTCCAGCCGATGCTCCAGTTCCCAAGATTGCTATTGTTGACGCCGCGGAAATCACCGGCAATATTACCGAGGCATCTCCTTTCACACCTTCTGGTGCCGCCCTCGAGGAGGTCACCAAGCGCTTCATCGTCGGCGTAGATAACCGTCACCTCTGGACTGACCCCAATTACCCTTTCCACTCCGTCGGAAAGCTTCAGTGGTCTAACGGAGTATTCTGTTCCGCTGCCTTAATCGGCCCTCGTCACATCCTCTCTGCCAAGCACTGCAACCCCGATCCTCCTATCCCGGGATCTTTCTACCCCGGCTTCGACAATGGAGCCCGCTTTGGCTCTGCCCAAATCACCAACGGTCTCTTCACCTATGGTCAAGAACCCTTTTCCCCTTGTGAAACCAAGGGTGACTGGGTAGTCTATGCTCTCGACCAGCGCCTCGGTGATCAACTCGGTTATTTCGGAGCGAAGGTGCCTGATCGCAACATGTTTGACAAGCCTCAGTTCTTCCACATGGGCTACCCTGGTGACAAGGACGGTGGTAACCGTCCCTACCGACAGACCGACATCACGGTTCACTCCAAGAGAACCTTTGACTGCGACTCAACTGGCCCCTTTTACACTGACACAGATACCATGGGAGGCCAGTCCGGTGGCCCTCACTGGGAACTCGATGGCAATGGAAACCGATGGATCTGGGGTGCCCTCTCCATCAGTGTCACGAGTTCTGCCGAGACTTACGCTGGCTGGGCTTCTGGCAGTTCTATGATAGACGGCATTCTCAAGATGCGAACTGACTTTCCTTAGAGACGCAGAGATTAGTGACTGGAGCCATGTGTGATTGGTTGTCACTTCCGATGTCTTTTGCATCTCCGATGACGGTTGGAGAATCTTCCACGCGCGTCTACCTAATAGCCAGTACTATATCAAAAGTTCAACAAGAATACAATTCCACAAAATTGAATCAAGTCAATTCACTAGGGTGTGCCTTATGCAATCATAAGGCCAAACATCACTTATCTTCCAGCGAGATAATCGACTTAGGTGCTGCCCAAACTCAAATATCTACTCGTTTCTGATGGCTTGGTCATCGAATAAACATGACGCTATGTCTACGGGAACGAAATTATATCGCGGCATATCAAATCGCTCATGGTCCAGAATGATCGAAAGTGTGAAGTAAATTGACGATCAGAAAGACAATTTGACGGACAAATGTCCGGTTCAGCCCTTCTATCCATTGTGTTTCACTGCCAGGTTTCTATACTACACCGAACTTCGTTTACGAGTCAACGTCATACATTAGGCTAGTAGATGTAAGTTTTCTAAGTCAAGTCTTGAGTTAATTTGGGGTTGACTGGCACGTAGCACTTTCCTCGAAGACACCAGCTGGGAAATTGAGCACAGTACTCCGATTATGTGAACAACAGATCCCCAACGATGTGTAGATAAGCGTTAAGTGATATGTGCCTGCCAAGAAAGCGGATAAAATATCCGATGGCTGCAGGCTGCGCATAAAAGCCTCCTTACGTTTGGCTTTGAGATTGGGGGCTCCCCAAGAAATCAATAAGAAAGCGGACCTGATCGACCATAGATCCATGCGTATTCAACAGGTTGCCTCGTGTCATTACTGACCTGACCGCATGTTGCCGAAGTTGAGTCTGGGAAGGCGTCTCTGATGATTCAAAAGATGAAGGCTGCCTCAACTCTGCACGAGGCGACAGATACATGAAGCTTTCAAGCAGAATCCCAATAGCTTGTTCATTGTAACCACACAGGACAATTAGAATTTGGCTACATCATCTTATGAGACACCTCATAAAACTTTTCCGGATGAACGAATGTTTCCGCCGTCCCGGCCCGTTGATAGGCTTGTCTTCAACCGCCCTGATCCTTCAAATCTTCTCGTTGTAAACCCGTATCTCTTCTTTGAACTGAAGATGCTTGGCATTTCTAAGAATAACTTCTCGTTCTCGCAACTATCACGACCCTCCCTTAATGCAACTACTCGGAGTCATCGATCTCCTTCCGCTCCTTCTGCGGTGGCGGATGCTTTGGATCCGATCCAGCATCTGTTCCCCATCCACCAAAGCCACCTGCTGTCGCCACGCCTCCAAAGCCGGAAGCGGGTCCCGCCGTGAGTGTCCCTGCAGCCCGGTTCCCTGCGACGCCAGGACGGTCTTTGGCCCAGTCGTTGATCTCATCCTTAGTCTTGCCGGTGTACCTCTTGAGATCCTCGTCTGAAATCTGGGTGTCGCGGCCGCTCTTCTTGTCTTGGTAGCGTTGATAGAGAGACTTTTTGGGCTCGTCAGAGCCGGCGCCCTCGGCTGGTGTTGATTTTCCAAACAACCCCATGTCGGGTAAAGTTGTGATAATGGTAGGACGATCTGGCGTTCTAGGATGATTGAGTTTGCTGATAGTATTTGATGTATTCAGATGAGAATCGAAGTCTCGTTCCGAGTCTAAGTATTAAGGTAGCTGGCTTGTTCTGTTGGAGGCGGATGACACTGGCCACTCTTCGATCGCGGGGATTGTCTGAGGTAGTTATTCGAAAATTGGTATGTTTTAAGGGTATTTCTGCTAGTGTTGGCTGGCATGGCGCAGCGGACGCGAGAGGCACAGCCATGTAATGTTAGTCACGCCTCGGACGGATCGAGCGATGATCCCCTGCTCGCCATTGGGGTCGCAGTTGATAATCAGCCCAATCAACCCACTAGTCAACTCTTATTCAGGCAGGCCACCAATGGGAGCTGTCTTCTATCAAGCCACCACGACCAACAACATTCTCAGAGGGCTCAGCTGACGTCAAGTTGTCGCCCGGTTCGTAAGTTGCGGGTGGAACGGCAAGCCCTCGTCAATGGAGGCCATTAGACCATGTGACAAGTTTTGCAGGTAACGCCAGCCTAGCCTAACGTGGGTTTTACGAAACCTTCATTTATACTCCTGGTTCGTTGAGGAGCAGAAGCGGAAAATGGTTCATGACTGCTGTTGGTTTGCTCTAATCAATTGGAATTGCCTAGTATATGCCCACAATCCTAAATCAAGCTATGCGTATCGTGCAAGAACATCTCAGGGCTGCGGCATGCTTTCGCCCCGTGCCGGTCTGCCGTCCACGCGCAGCAGCGAGGCTGGCCGCTGCGGACTACACGTCAACTATTGACACCGAGTTCTCTGCATCACGCTCCACAGTCTCAAATACGGCCCATTGGTTGTCGTTGATTTGCTCAGCCTTTGCGGGAAGGTACTAGCTTTTGCTTCAGGGGCAAATCTTAAAAGTCGGGGAGTATTGACCTCGAAAGCGTGGAACCCTGGTTTAACGTTGCGGCCTGCATGCAACAGTTTCTAATTCTATAGATCTTTTGTCTCGTATTATTGTAGTAAGCCGGGTGCGTCTCTGCTGAAGTAACCAGGCCACTACAAGACGACTGCTATGGCGAGTCTAGTTCATCTGGTCATGTCATTATGGTGAGATCTTAAGATAGTTAGGGCCACGGTCTTAGTAAAGCCTTGTTCATCTGTATTACCTTCAAGAGTTGGTCTGTAACAGGCCTTCGGAAGAAGTCATTATCGACAATCGAGCCTAGCCGTACATTGACCACCATGCATCCGCCTATCTGTAGTCCTAGACCTCTAAACTGCCAAGCTCATTCTTCCCTTCTACGTGCCCTTCTCTTCATACTCGACTCGGAAGCACACAATCGCTGGGGTGCTCGTTATTCGTGACTTACTTGTAGCGATTTGCGTCCTGTTTCATCGAGTCGAACGTCGTATCTATGACAAGCACATGTGCGCCAAGTCCGATTACGAAGTGTAATAAATCAACAGTGCATCCCCACTGAATATTAGATTCTGCTTCATCACGACGATCACTGTTTTGCTGCGTCGATGGGGCTCCAAAAGGGTGCCGACGGGAGGAGCTGAATGCAAGCTTTGATTTGCCAGCCGAGATTCAAGCTTCAACGCCCTCGATTCATACTCCGACGACGAAAAGGCGGGGCTGTAAAGAATGAAGGGCTGCAGCCGACGGGTTTAAGGATAAGCCATGGCCAAGCTGTGCCAAGTATGCACGATCATCGGCGCTTGAGGCTGATGAGCCAGCTCTGCAGAAGTCTATTCGTTCTAGTCTCTGGGTTAATAACCATTCCGAGATGTACAGCAGCCCCAAAGAACATTGAAGTCGAGTGGTCACGGATGCCGTGCTATTTCTTCAGCTGTAGCAGCTGATATGAGACATGAACAAGGAAACCGACATCTAGAGGGTCGGGAAGAATCTGCAGGACGCAACTCAAGCACGGTCGTTGCTTAGCGGCTTCTGTACTATTGAGAGTGAGTAACAGCTGATTCATCTGATGAGAGCGCAGCTGTGCATGAGTGGCTGCCAGATAGTGCGGGAAAAACGGCTTTCCTGTCTTATTCACTCTTCTCGACAAGGTGATAAGTTGCAGATGCTTGCGATATACATCGCGTCTGTCACGGTCGCGCTTTGTCGGCAAAGTGGAATGGAACTGGGAATGTTTCGTCGCCATCGTCCCAAATCCAGCTCTTTCCAACGAACCAGTCCGACAAAATAGTCTGGCCTGGCCTTCACATACTGACAGATAAGGAAGATGGAATGAGGAAGTCCCATGGACGGACGTTGCTCCTGGGACGATCCCATCACCGGCACAACCACTTCCCGATTCGTCGCAGTTGGAGGGGCGCGGGGAAATTGAGTGGATGGACATAGGAGCGGGCAGGAAAGTAAGAGGTTTCACGGGTAAAAGAGAAAGGCCTGCTTCTTCGTCCCAAGCAGCATTACGCATGGCGAGTCGTTTCGTTGAAAATGACTTGCATGCGACTTTGGGGCAAAGGAGGGAGGCCACATCCGCCATGCCGCCGCCGCATGTAAGTGGGGATCTTACGAGACAGCTGAATCGTAAAGCGCTGAGTCGTGTTGACAGCTGAGAATGCGCCCGTAGCGAGCTGAGGAGGTAGTTCGTCATACTGGCCTGTCTTATAGATGATCTCAATGGCCCCGCGCTAACCTGCACAGTAGATCTTACAATGATCGAGTAAGGGGAAATACAAGTGCATACCTCCAAGACGCCAAGACCCCCCGCAACGGGAAGGACCGTTAAGCTACAGGTAACGGGGGAAAGGCAAACAAGCGAAACAACTGCCAGTTCCCCATGTCTAGTGCTGTTTCCACGAAACCTCACCATTGCCGCGAGATGACAAACTGTTGGCCGCAGAGATGGGAGAAAAGAATCGATACAGCGGAACTGTGGCATTCCGAATAAGGATAAGGGACGATTCCCTTAAAAAAGTGGGAAAGACAAAAGCCGCCAGTGGGTGGGTGAGGAAAGCGAAGCGCGCCTCACAGATCCTGTCATTATCTTGGTCTAAAGTTGAGTCAAAGCCGGGGTGCCCTGATCGGACGCAGCATACATCTGATTGAAAGTCAAGCTTTTGCAAAGACATGGCCGGATCGGCCATGTTGGCCGTGCGCCACTGGGATTCTTCTTCAGTCGCGACATGGCTGTGACAGTGGTGATAACTCAAATAGCCCGTTCGCTGAGCCAGTAGGCGGCCCGAGGTGGGCGAGAGATGAGAAAGAGAAGACTTGCGTCTCCACATCGCCGTGCCCGCGAGTACGCCGGCAGGAGGGAGAAAAGTCAAGACGAAGAAGAGGTCCAAGAGCCGCCCTCGTCTTGGCACAAGGAAATCCTCGTATGGTACGCCGAGGAAAGGTGCCGTCCTATGAGAGCGAGGCTTTTAGGTTGTCTTCCATTCATATTTCCAAGCCCCCGGGCGCACGGAGCCTCAATATCTCCAAGTAAGAGATGTTGGCCCGGGCTTCGCCTCTTTATTCAGTGGCAGCGACAGCAAGCGGACTGTGGATCTTAATCGGACGCGCGTGTGTCCGCTCGATGCTGCGATGCGAAGCTTTCGAATCCAGGGCTTGATCAGTCATGGTCATCCTGGCAGAAGCTTGTCAGTTCTCCTCGTGGCCCACTGGTCCCCACGTGGAGCTCATATACTAATACATAATGAAACGGCGCCACTTGCCTGTTTCTTGAAGGATAAGAGGGTTGGTGTGTTCTCCGTGTACGACGCTTCATATTCAGTCGATCTTATAAGATCCAACGTTCCGCGCTGTCAGATATATCGGACATGTGCTAACTGTCCATGCCATGAAGGTGTCGCTGCCGCTCTCGCAACCGACATCCACATCGGAACATCGAATATGGCCGTAGTGCCACCACAAGGATGTGAGCACTGTTCAAGAAGCCAGATCAAAGAGCTGGGCTCTGTGGCCAGAGCTGCCAATCAGACGTACTTGACAAGATCCGAGTTGGATACGACGCTGTTGGTCCTCAATATCCGCGCCGACGATACCGCCCAAGCTGAGAATATTCAAACGGTCTTATGGACACTAGTCGTTCTCTCGGCAGTGTTTCTTGGATTGAGGATATACTGCAAGATATCCTACACGTATACAAAGATCCGAATCGAGGACGTTATCCTGGTTGCCTCCTGGGTAAGAACTCTCATAACTTGAAGAGTCTCGTCACTATTCCAGTGTTGACAGTTGCTGCATAGCTGGTCCTAGCATCAGATGCCGCCCTCAATGAGTTCATCATCAAATCCCGATTCGGCCGACCCGACTTCCCTATCACCGTCGACAACATTACAGTATTAGCTATCGTCGGCCTTTCTTCCATTACGTGCTCTTTTGTCGGTCAAGTCTGGAGCAAGACTGCGTTCGCTATATCGCTATTACGAATGTGCGATGGGTGGAAAAAGGCCTTTGTATGGTTTTCCATCATTTCCATGAACGTTCTCTTTGCATTTTCCTCCTTGTCGTTTTGGGTTGGGTGTGTCCCGTTGGAGAAGAGATGGAAGCCATTCGCGGACGGAACCTGCTACGATCTCAAGTGGGTTGTTTCATTCGGAATCTTCGTTAGTGGTAAGATAATGTCCAGCATGTTCTACCCTAGTCTTCCTGAGCTATGCTAAGTCTTACCAGTATACTCTGGCCTCCTCGACATTGCCTTATCAATCATCCCATGGCTCATTCTTATGCGGCCCAGGCCGGCCGAGGAGTCATCTGGTCTTACTTTGAGCAGGAAGGAGAAGATCGGTGTATCTGTGGCTTTGAGTATGGGAATGTTGTAAGTTTCTCACTCCGATGAAGACCTATCATTGATTTCTAACGCACTTGAATAGGGCCGGAATAGCGGCGTTTGTCAAAGCATCATATATGCGCTCAGTAAATGATACCACTGGTGATTTCTCTCGTAAGTAAAGACCCTTATTATAGAATCGTTATTCGTCTAATGCAGGTTACAGATGGGGGAGCAGAGTTGGCCGTTTGGGCCGGGGCTGAGACAGCCATTACGATCATGGCATCGACTATTCCCGTATTGCGTGTTCTGCTGCGTGACACAGCAATCAAGACTAAGTATCTTCCCGAAGCTATCAAAATGAGGGTTCGGAGCACTGTTAGGAGATCGGAGAGAGCATCAGAAAGACCTATGGCGCAACCTGAGGAAGACAAAATTCCTATTGTCTCGTCAGGCGCCTCAATGTCTACTGCTGGTGCCTCTTCCACATCATCAGGCTCAACTGTGGACTCACAGAAGACATTGATATCCAAAACACCGGATATCCGGAAGAAATGAGACCCTAAGCGGTCAGACGGAAGCGCGATAGCTTAGCCGGTTGCTGAGATTTATGATTTGACGAGACAACATACACGAACGGGCCATTCAGATGATATCAAGATAGTGCTAATGAACAAGGACCACTCAGTTCTTGATGAACCGTAAGATTATTGATCTTAATGTTTCAACTGCACAAACTCTCAAGGTGCTATTTCTACTCGTGCCCAATCGGCTTACCCTGAGACTGCCACGCCATCGGAGCAGAAGCAGCTACCAATGGCGCCGTTGCACCGCCCTCTCTAGGATCCTCAAGGATGAAGTTCATTGGGAACCCGATATCAAACTCCTTGAAGCTCTCAATCTTCTTGATCTGCTCCCCAGTGAGATGAATGCTCAAGGCCTTGATATTATCTTGCAAGTGTTCCACCTTGCGACCACCAACAATCGGGAAAACGTAGCGCGCCTTTTGCATAACGTACGCCAAGGCAATCTGTTGAATGCTCTCAATGCCATGCTCCTTGGCAACTTCCTCAAGAACCTCGCTAGCCTTGCGTTGATCCTCGGATTGATCCCCTCCAAACATGGCACGCAGGCCCTCGCCAGCCTTCTTGCGCTCCTCGAGCTGCTTCTTAGACTGCAGCTTACCGCCGCCGAGGACGTCCCAGGGGCAGAGGGCCATGCCAAAGTGGCGAGCCATGGGGATGATGTCCCGCTCCATGTCGCGGATGAGAACGTTCCAGCGACCCTGGTAGACGGAGAACTGGGTCTTCCCATGCGCCTTGGCGTAGGTGTTCGCAGCGGAAACGACCCAAGCGGGTGTATCAGAAACGCCGAGATACAGGACCTTACCCTGCTCGACCAGAATGTGGAGCGAGTCCATCAGCTCCTCGACAGAGGTCGTCCAATCCCACCAGTGGATGTAGAGCAGGTCAATGTAGTCCGTCTGCAGCTTTCTGAGGGAATCCCGGACCGAGAGGTGCAGCGATTTCTTGTGGTTGCCAGAATAATTGACACATTTTCCGGGTCCGAGCGCCTGTTTGCGGTACTGCGTCGTGAACTTGGTTGCAATGAACATGGTGTCCCGGTTCTTCCTGTCGGTCATCCATTCTCCCAGAATCTCCTCGGACTCCTCGTTCTGGTAGTTGTTGGCGGTGTCGATGAAGTTGCCGCCGGCATCGACAAATGCGTCGAGAAGCTTGAAAGAGTCCTCCTTTTCCATGGAACCCATGAACGACGACCACGCAGAGCCGATGGACATTGCACCCAGGCAGAGGGGGGAAACCCTGACACCTGCGGTGGTGGACAGAACGCGGTATCGACCGAGCTCAGTTTTGGGCTCGGGAGCCGGCGCGAAGAGGGTTTGAAGGCCGGACATCGTGAGATGAGTTCAAACTGTGGGGTATGGCAAGAGGTACTTGATGGTGAGGTTTTGGTTGAGCTAATAATGGTACGATGGACTAGTGCCTTTTCTTGTTTTGAATGGAATTGTGCAATGGGACAAACTGAACTGCGTTGAAAATGCTCGCCTTTATATCAACCTTTGCCATGTGAAGCCACCCGTGGAGCAGCTCCAAGCGGTGAGTAGAAACTCTGCAACCCGGGTATAGGAACAAAGTCCGAGAACGCATGCAGGGTTTCATTGCCAAGCGGCAAGAATCAACTGTCCACCATCGGGGCCGCTTGTGCCCCGTGCTTTCACCATGACGTTGGAACACTTTCTGGACTTCGACGATGAAATCCTGGAAATGGGCAGATGCGGGTCGATATTCGTCCGCAGGTACTGCGGATCTTGGGATGCAACGCGGCACTTCGCGGGGCCCAGTTGCAGACTACCTAGCGTGGATCGCCATCCCCCCAGACCCGGGGCCCACTTCGGACCCGGAAGCGAGCATGTGGAAAGGTCTTAGTAATTAATCGATCTCGAG